TTGCATCGAGAAGCGGTATGTTCACTTGCACCTTCCGGAACGTTTCAAGAATGTCCTTCTCGCTTTCTTCCTTTTTTTCTTGCATGAACCTGCGAGGAAAAGGTACATTGGGTAGATTAGGACGTGAAGTACATGAATTTGAACTTAAATTACCTGATTTGGCCGAGTTAGGGTGATTGGGGGCCTGCGGCATTGGGTTTTTCACTCTTTCCGTGGGTGAGCTAGACACTTCCTTAGGTTGTGTCGTCTCTTCATCTACTTCCTGGGCAGATTTGGGATTGTTTGGCTCAGTCCCAACTTCTTTTCCACCCCTTAGGGTGATGGCCTTGGCGGATTCGAATCCTCCCTTTGGATTGACTGTGGTTGAGCTAGGAAGCTTTCCTTTATCTCTAATCTGTCCAAGGAACTCAGAAATCTGCCCTATTTGTTTCTTCATATCCATCATCTCCTTCTCGTTATTTTCTATCCGGTTGTTTTGATTTTGCAACCCCTGCGAAATAGAGGTTAGTAATTGCATAGCTTGATTACTTTCCAAGGACGTACCTGAATGAGATGATGTCGAAGGTTGTTGGGATTGTTGGGGTGCATACGGCTTGGAATAAAAACCAGGGGGGTTTGGCCTAAATCCTCCTTGTTGGGCAGCTTGTTGTGGCTCCCTCCATTTGAAGTTTGGATGGTCCCTCCATCCGGCATTGTAAGTGTTCGAGTATGGGTTGTGTTGATTTTGTCCTTGGAAACCAATTGCATTGGCAGATTCCCACCCACCATTCTCGATTAGTTGAGGGCACTTGTCGGATGGATGCCCTTGAATTGAGCACACGCCACAAACTTGGTGTTCTTGTGCTTTTGGACCAATCACAACCTGAGAAACAAGAGAAGTAAGATTAGCAAGTTGTGATTGAATTTCAGAAATAGCACTCACCTCATTTACACTTTGTTGCCGTGGGGCTTCCCTTTGGCCCACTCCTTCATATTGTTGAGCGTTGAGCGCTCGGTTGGCTATGAGAATCTTGGCATCCCTTGGTGTTTTGTCCACCAATGCTCCTCCCGCTGAGGCATCAAGCATTTGACGTTCAATAGGAAGGAGGCCCTCATAGAAATATTGAAGGAGAAGTTCCTCCTTCATTTGATGTTGAGGACATGAAGCTACAAGGCCCTTGAAGCGCTCATGATAAGCCGGGAATGTCTCACCATGATTCTGTTGAATACCACTAATTTTCTTCCGTAGGAGAATCACTCTCGAAGTAGGGAAGAATTTCTTCAAGAAAGCACGCTTCATACTCTCCCACGAAGTCACAGTTCCCGGGGCTAGTTCGTAGAGCCAATCTTTGGCCTTGTCCATAAGTGAAAATGGAAAGGCCTTCATCTTCAATCCCCGGCAACGGCGCCAAAATTTGATGCGATAATTACTTGACACTCAAATTAAACCCTCGTTTGACAATTGTAGTAGAATGGATAAGTGAGGGATCGTTCTAGACCGGGGATTAGGAGGGCTTGCTAAAACCTTCTAAATTGACTTAAGAACGTAAAAACAATATAAAACACTAAACTAGACTCAAAGAATGCAAAACTAAAATTTAAAATATTAAGACAAACCAAAAGACTCAAAACTAATTTTGGACGAATTTAAGATTATGGCTTGATTCAAAATACTTTAAAACATAAACTAAACAGATTCTAAGCACTAAAGAACAAGAAAGTAAAGGGGGGGGGAAAGTTTTGATTTGACAAAAATTGAAATAACAAAACAAGTTAATAAACTAAGCGGAATGTAAATATGAATTTGTGATGGAATGAATGGAATGAAGGCTAGCTAAGGGGTTCTTCTCCACACATGTTATACTTGCATACAAGATTGATTCTCAGTTGGTTTTTCGATAAATTATGAAACTCAACACTCCGGATTAATTAGGTCCGCTTAAATTAACCGTCAAGTTTTCCTTAAGTTAATGAATTGGATGGGTTTGCGCAACGCAATTCACAACATTCTCCAAAAGTCCTTTACATGAACAGCACAATAAAGATACAATCAAAGATCATTAAGTATTATGAAAACTATAAGTGTTGACGAGGCATTCGTTACTATGATGAGCATGAAACTTGTGCCAAGAATTCATTTAACGCGATTGTTTATAAGCAACCTCCACTACTTGTGAATATAAGTTCATAACGATTAGGTGAAAATCACTTATATTCTAGCGTCATATTTATGCATGAAAATTAATCGCGCATTCTTAATAAACATTCATAAATAAGTTATCAATCAAACGGTTAAACAAATTGAATCCACAACTTATGAAATTCCAACGAAAGTTAATCAATTCATATTGCAAATATAAACATAGTTTCGAATCACCCCCTAGCTAAAGGGGGATTAGTTCCTCATACCTTTGAAATCAAAGAAACACCTAAACATTTCAACAACTCAAAACTTGAATTGTATGAACGTTTAAGCACTCTTCTCTTCCATTCCTTATACGTACAAAACAAAGAGAATTAAAATGAAACTTTGAAATCAAAGAAACACCTAAACATTCCAACAATTCAAACTTGAATTGTATGAACGTTTAGGCACTCTTCTCTTCCTCGTTGTTGTAGCACAAGGTTTAAGGATAGGTTGGTTGGGGGGATGGAAGTGTGGAATGGAGTGGAAATGGAGAAGATGGAGAAGGGGAAGTGTTTGTGTATTACAATGGAAAATGAGATGATTTGGTGAATGGAATGAATGGGTATTTATAGGAAGAGAATGGGTGTTAATGGATGTTTGTTTAAGGTATTTGGTGGATGGGAAAAAGTGTGGATGGTGGGAATTATGGTGGATGGATGGTTTAGTGGATGTAATTTAGGGTTTATTTAGGTGAATGTGGATGCATGGTTTAGTGGATGTAAAGGATAATGGGATGGTGTGGAATTAAAAGCTAAAAAAATGGGATAATGGGCATTTAAGTGTGAATGGAATGGTGGGATGCACTAATGGAAATTATGGAATGGAATGGTGGGATGCACTAATGGAAATTATGGAATGGAATGGTGGGATGCACTAATTAGGAGGAAGAATTAGGGTGAAGGGCTTAATGCATGGATTTGGGCCAATTAGGGTGAAGGGCTTAATGCATGGATTTGGGCCTAAAATGCCCCCCTTGCATGGCAAGGGAAAGGACTTGGGCTAAAGCCCACGGCAATGGCTCTAAAATGGGCTAAGGTTAGGGTTTAGGTGCGGCATAGGCTTAGGGTCCACAAAGAGTTAGGGTTTAGGTCATCTAAAAGCCCAAAGCCAAGAATAGAAACTCACGACAATGGAAACCTCCAAGAATAGAAACTTCCAACTTTAGAAACTTTGGTTACCAATTCCGACTTCCTTGCTCTTCACTTTCATTTCTTCATTTCTTAAGCTCCTTTGACCTTCAACCTCGTTCATTCCTCGTGCTCCATTTGCATACACCACATTCCAGCTCAGTTTTGCTCCAAAAGCTCCCAATTGCATCATTTCATGTAATATGTCCTTTAAACCTGAAAACACATGAAAGTAGCTTAAAAGACTACTTTAACGAATAAAACATAACAAAAATGCAGAAGAACTAGCTAACTAAGGCGCATAAATATGCTTCTATCAATGCCCTTATTTATGCAAAAGAAGTCCCTAAATTAGAGGGAACACAAATGTGTTCATGATTACTTGCAATTGCACAAAATGAGGAGTCTTAAGATGTAGCTATAGTGATAGTTGCGTCACACTTCTAGACATAAGAGCTACAAGATACTCATTGGGAATAATGTTTTTCATAGAACCTTATAATGCACATTTATACGACTGTCACCAAGCTAGAATCGGTTTCACCACATCATGAAATGATTCATCCTGGTGCTGAGGTAGCAAGCAGGATGAGACGTATATTCTGAAACACAATGGAGTGCGAGACTAGACACATGTATGATTTTACATGCAAAACATACACTAGGTATACCTATATGCATGTAACCATAGAAGTGTCTAAGATGAGACCTAACAAAGGTCTAACATGGAGATTTTTCCATTTGAAATCCATGTTAAAGCTTATTAAGCCAGATGGGCGCTGAGAGGGCGACTAAGCGGGTGCCCAAGTTAGGCTTTTGTTTAAGATTTTTATAGTGTATGCCCAACGGACACGTGACACGCTCATCAAATTGAGAAAACACTGTAGCATATATTTCATGCTGTATGTGCTAGTTGCAGCCGATAGTGAAGTGATGAATTGGTCCCTGCTTCAAATCCCGTGTGAGCCACTGGATCTATGTGATCCTACCCTTGTACCCTTTCGGATTAAAGCCTATGTCCGAAAAATGAGGTTCAATGATAGCTACTTTAGCACATTTATCTATCAACTTGAGTGTAACAGTAGGGGCCAAGAGACATTTCTGAAAATCCTAAAGTTCCTTTCCTTCCAAATATAGTAGACAGAGGTAGCATGACAAAGGTGCTTGACAATGGGGGGGGTGGGGGATGACAAAGCGGACAAGAGACAACTACAAGATGCCGATGTGCAGCAATTTTAACGAGTTGATAACTTGCCCTTGATGGCTAACCGCAAAACAAATGAATTCCAAGGCAGTTTAGGCTTATGAACTCGCAAAAAAATCCCAAACAGAAGCAGCGGGAAAAAGTCCATTAGAGGCAGGAACCCATCGAACCAATCTTAAATGAAGCGCAGACCCATTTGAATCAACGCTAATAGCACTTAGCCAAGCCCGCGTCTTTCCTTGACCTAGGGCTCGAGATAGTCTGGTAACTACACACAAAGACAATGGACCAAAAGGGTCCTAGTTATCATGCCATAAAGCAGTTTTACTTTCTAATAATTATAGCTTGAAGGGCAGCTATAAATTGGAATTCTTCTGAAGAAACATAGTGCTTTTTTATTTTATTTTAATACAAACTACTTAGTACTTACTAATTGCAAACTTGCAATTACTTATTTATTGTTTCTGATCATTAACCAAAGACCTTTCTCTACATGTGCTGATCACTTGGACTGAGCCGACGTATCAAACCCCCTCAGCCAGTTCTGGTCCTGAGCCCCAAAAGACGACGATGACCCGCCTTCACCAGCACCAGTGGAGGAACCACCAGCCAAAAACATCTCAATCATCGAAGGGTCAAGCATCGGAGGGCCATGCTGCTCGAAACCTAGAGGAAACTCCGGCACAAAAGGCGGTAGCAGTGGGGTAGGCATCATCGCAAACTGGTGTCCAGCAGGTCCAGAAGGCACAGCAGGGCCATAGTCCATTAGCGGATGCTCCCTCTTCGTAAACTGAGAGCGGTCTGAATTCTCAGACTCCCGGTAGCGATGGAGGAAAACGTTGAGGGGGTCGATGTAGTTCTCGAAGCCAAGCTTGCTCATGGCCCAGATGATGTCCTCGGCAGAGACGGTCTTGCGCTGCTCGCGCTGGCTACGCTGGTTGGCTTCAGCAGTTATGAAGGCGATGTACTCAGACACACATTCCTGCACGGTCTCCTTGGCGGCTTCTGTTATTTTTGCACGCGGAGGGAGCACGCGACGCATTATGCGTACCACGTTGGCTGTCGGCATGTATTGATCCTGCACACGAACAACTCGCCGATGGGTACTCTGTGCAGTGTTGTTTCCAGTACTGCCGGTGGCATTGGCAGGGTTGCTGGTGTTTCCGACGGCATTCCCCAGAGTTGTTGGATTTTTCTGTGTGCAAGGCGGGAAAATAACAATGAATGTAAGCCAACCAATTAATCACTGTACAGATATGCGCATAAATGACTAATATTAATTGAAACTTAATGGGTATGGAAGGCATGGTTTATATATGGTTATATTATTCAGGGTCACGTAACAGTTCACGCGCTCACATGCCCGTGGTTATGTCATCCAAGTAACGGTTACTTCGGTCAAGATAACAGGGAAAAGGGTCAAGTCTTATCATGAGAAAAGATTCCACCTTGTCACTCTGTTTTTGTCTGTTTGCTAGTCCACCTAAGCCCAAAACTATAAACTGACACCTCACGCGCTGCGTGTCCAAGTGCCACTGCGTCTATGAAACGGTTCTTTTTAAGAACCGAAAAATTGGGTCCCACACTCGAAATGGCGTCCATCCTAAAAAGATTTTTCAATGTACTCAGACCGTTCTGTGTCCTACTAAATCCCCATTACCACTGTTCCAAACTGGTTTCCCAGCTCAAAACCCTATCAATTCCTCAAGGAAGAACCTGCTAAGGGTTTGTAAAGATGAATACCAAAGGCAGACCATGGAACTTTTTTCATATTAATCAGAAACGAATTAAAATCATGTATATACATTTAAGGCCAGTAGATATATATGTGATTTAGAAATTACAGATCACAAAACAACCTAACTTGAACCTCATATCCATAAGAGGCTACATAAAACTAACCATATTTTTTTAGCAAGCGTTACACTGAAACTAGCTAGCTAAACCTATAACCAAAAAAACAAGAAAACTAGCTAGATAGAGCAAAATAATGTTAAAAAGATGGCCAAAAATTGTAATATTATCGAGTGAGAAAAATCGTCTGGAATAATTCTTGCTCAAAATCTTGTCAAAACAATGCAAACCCTAAGAGGTATATATGTGATATCAGCACATAAGAAGCTGAGATAAACACAAAATCACATGCAAAACACCGCCAGATGCAGAATCATATGCAAAATCCTTGAGATCGGCCTTGGAACAATATATTTTTAGGAAAAAAAAAGGATAAAGGAAGAAAATAAATTTCTTTCTCTAAAGTCTGAAGAGAAATGGACATGCATTGAATAAAAATTCATAAATAATATAAAATTAATTTAAAATTTTCAGAAAACCACTCTTGTATTTATATACACATATAGATAGGTGTATATATAAAATCATCAAGAAGAAAAACATTAATAAACAAATAAATAAATAAAAGAGAAAATCCAGATGCAATTTGCTTAGAGAGATTTTTACCAGGGTTTGGTGAATTTGCATGCCTGCGAGGAAGACCACCCCCCATACGTTCCATTATGGGTCACTTAACCCGACACGACACGACACGAAATTAACAGGTGTTTGGGTCGACACGATAACGAATCGGGTCTTATCGGGTAACCCGATAAGCACCTGTTAAGATAACGGGTCGGGTCGGGTATACACGTGGGTAAACACGATACACGATAAGCAGAATATTATTTTTATAATTTTATAACCCCTAAAAAAATATTGTAATAATTATATACATTAATTTTACAATTTTATACCCCTAAAAATTATAATAAATATATATATATATATATTAAATTAACTATAAAATTTATAATAATTATAATAATTATATATACTATAATAATTATACCCCCAAAATATTAAGTCTATCTATACTAATTATATTATATATATATATATATATATATTAAATTTTATAAAAATTATAATGCATATTAATTAATAATTTAATATGCATGATCATGCATTTGCCAACTTGCCGTCCCTTTTGGAAAAAAAAATGGAGGAAAAATGAAAATGTTAAGAAAAGTTGAAAATAAAACAAAAAAGTGAGGGAATTAGGGAAAGATGTTGGAGGGAAAAGTGAAAATGATAAGAAAAAGTTGAAAAGGAAACAAAAAAGAGAGGGAAAAATGAAAATTAATAGAAGTGGTGAGAAATTTTTTTTTTTTTTAAGTTATTAACTTTTTATCACACACATGACTGTCATGACATATCTCACTATTTTTATAATGAACACGTGACACGTGATGTATGTACTATTCCGTGTACCAGTCAATTATAATTTATACGTACAAAATAAATAGATTTAAATCTACTTAATAAATATATATATATACACACACACACACACGGAACTTGATTGATGGCATACGAATTCTCCAAAACTAATTTCAACGATCCAAACCGTCAAAATTGTTTGTATATGCTTGGAGATCACATCAGCAAAAAATCACAAAAAAAAAACATTCAGAGATCAAGTAACGGGACAAAGCTTTTCAACGGTTATAAACGAAAAATCACGATTTAACGGTTATTTTAACTCCGATTTTGATGATTTTTTATAACTACACTTCTTGACCCTATATGAATACAATGAATGAATTCGATCTTCAATTTAAAATATTTACACAAGTGGATACCACAAAATCTTATGTTATACTTAATAAAAGTATAAATAAACTCTAAGTGTTAGTCAATCTATCGTTTTACGAATTCTCCAAAACTAATTTCAACGATCCAAACCGTCAAAATTGTTTGTATATGCTTGGAGATCACATCAGCAAAAAATCACAAAAAAAAACATTCAAAGATCAAGTAACGGGACAAAGCTTTTCAACGGTTATAAACGAAAAATCAAGATTTAACGGTTATTTTAACTCCGATTTTGATGATTTTTTATAACTACACTCCTTGACCCTATATGAATACAATGAATGAATTCGATCTTCAATTTAAAATATTTACACAAGTGGATACCACAAAATCTTATGTTATACTTAATAAAAGTATAAATAAACTCTAAGTGTTAGTCAATCTATCATTTTACGAATTCTCCAAAACTAATTTCAACGATCAAAACCGTCAAAATTGTTTGTATATGCTTGGAGATCACATCAGCAAAAAATCACAAAAAAAAAACATTCAGAGATCAAGTAACGGGACAAAGCTTTTCAACGGTTATAAACGAAAAATCAAGATTTAACGGTTATTTTAACTCCGATTTTGATGATTTTTTATAACTACACTCCTTGACCCTATATGAATACAATGAATGAATTCGATCTTCAATTTAAAATATTTACACAAGTGGATACCACAAAATCTTATGTTATACTTAATAAAAGTATAAATAAACTCTAAGTGTTAGTCAATCTATCGTTTTACGAATTCTCCAAAACTAATTTCAACGATCCAAACCGTCAAAATTGTTTGTATATGCTTGGAGATCACATCAGCAAAAAATCACAAAAAAAAAACATTCAAAGATCAAGTAACGGGACAAAGCTTTTCAACGGTTATAAACGAAAAATCAAGATTTAACGGTTATTTTAACTCCGATTTTGATGATTTTTTATAACTACACTCCTTGACCCTATATGAATACAATGAATGAATTCGATCTTCAATTTAAAATATTTACACAAGTGGATACCACAAAATCTTATGTTATACTTAATAAAAGTATAAATAAACTCTAAGTGTTAGTCAATCTATCATTTTACGAATTCTCCAAAACTAATTTCAACGATCAAAACCATCAAAATTGTTTGTATATGCTTGGAGATCACATCAGCAAAAAATCACAAAAAAAAAACATTCAGAGATCAAGTAACGGGACAAAGCTTTTCGACGGTTATAAACGAAAAATCAAGATTTAACGGTTATTTTAACTCCGATTTTGATGATTTTTTATAACTACACTCCTTGACCCTATATGAATACAATGAATGAATTCGATCTTCAATTTAAAATATTTACACAAGTGGATACCACAAAATCTTATGTTATACTTAATAAAAGTATAAATAAACTCTAAGTGTTAGTCAATCTATCATTTTACGAATTCTCCAAAACTAATTTCAACGATCAAAACCGTCAAAATTGTTTGTATATGCTTGTAGATCACATCAGCAAAAAATCACAAAAAAAAAACATTCAGAGATCAAGTAACGGGACAAAGCTTTTCGACGGTTATAAACGAAAAATCAAGATTTAACGGTTATTTTAACTCCGATTTTGATGATTTTTTATAACTACACTCCTTGACCCTATATGAATACAATGAATGAATTCGATCTTCAATTTAAAATATTTACACAAGTGGATACCACAAAATCTTATGTTATACTTAATAAAAGTATAAATAAACTCTAAGTGTTAGTCAATATATCATTTTACGAATTCTCCAAAACTAATTTCAACGATCAAAACCGTCAAAATTGTTTGTATATGCTTGTAGATCACATCAGCAAAAAATCACAAAAGAAAAACATTCAGAGATCAAGTAACGGGACAAAGCTTTTCGACGGTTATAAACGAAAAATCAAGATTTAACGGTTATTTTAACTCCGATTTTGATGATTTTTTATAACTACACTCCTTGACCCTATATGAATACAATGAATGAATTCGATCTTCAATTTAAAATATTTATACTAGTGGAATTTATATACTTAATAAAAGTATGAATCAACTATCATATTAATAATTATATACATTAATTTAATAATTTTATATCCCTAAAAGTAAAAAGTAAAAACTATAATAATTATATATATATTAAATTAAATTTAAAAATTGATGACCATTGGATCGGCTGAGATTAAATCTCAGCCGTCCATTTCATAATTATATATATATTTTATTAAATTTAAAAAATTGATAACCATTGGATCGGCTGAGATTTAATCTCAGCCGTCCATTGTGTAGGTAATCAACACTCTCATTAACTCAGCTCCTCCTGATTCCTGAATCAAACACTGACTCTCTCTGTCTGTCTCTCTCTCTCTCTCTCGAAAATTCGAAATACTCGAATCCTCGATCGACTTCGTCTTCGACTCTCTGAGACCTCACGCCGTCACGCGGACGCGGCGCCTCACGGGCCCTCTCACCTCACCTCAGTCTCAGATCAGTGACCTCACTCTCCTCGTCGTCCTCGAGTCTCGACCTCACCCAGGTCCCAGACTGTCACCCTCCTCCTCACTCAGTCACTCTGTCCCTTACTCACTCCTCAGTCTGCCCTCCTCCTCACTGCACAACAAGTCAACAAGGTAAGAAATTCCTGCAATAAACTCAAGGGTTTCTGAATTAGGGCTTGTCGAATTAGGAATTTCTTAAATTAGGGTTTCTAAATTGGGGCTTT